TAAGGGACATTGCATATGCTTATAAAATGTTGAGCTACTTCATACATATTGCCAATTAATTTTAGGAAGACATTGGATGTGGTCCCTAATTGTAAATATTCTTTGACTGAAACCTTGTTGGTTTTTAATTTTTGATCCAATTAAGTCCTTGAAATTAATGTGATAATTTATTTCTATGTACGTTACTATATTTTTTTAATTAAAATTTGAAATTTATAGTTGTTTATATTAATGAGATTTTAAATGAAAACCATAATTTGTGGGATTAAAAATATTAAAATATAAATATACTATTGTGTGTGTGTGTGTGTCTATATATATAAACATGGGTACATTCATCAAAATTAACCAAAAAATTATTGTATCAAAACATGGGTACATTCTTCAAAATCACAAAAAAAAAGAGAGAAGATATTAGGCTTAATAAAATTAGTAAATTTCTTCGATTAAACTTAACATGGATACATTATCAAAATAAAGAAAAAAGAATGTACCCATATAAATTTAAAAATGGATTAGAAAAAAAATTGAATAGATTTTATATTAAAAAAAGGGTACATTTTACATATAACAAATTGGTATATTTAAGAATGAGTACATTTTAAGATTAAAAATTTGAAAAAAATTACATGAATGGTACATATAATTAGCATGGGTACATTTAGCAAAATTAAAAATGGGTACATATAAAAAACAATATGGGTACAAATACAAACAAAACTTTATAAAATATGGGCAAAAAAAGAAATTAATATACGGGTACAAATTAAAACTGAAACGAAAATTGGTACAAATTAAAAAAGGGTTGCAAATTAAAAATGGGTGCAAACTAAAAATAAAAATATATGATAAAAAATTTAGCCATAAATATAATATACTAATTGTAACATTTTTAACATTAAATGAATATATTTAGAAATAAAAATATTTTATTATTGAAATAATTAATTATGTTATTAATAACAAGGACCTTAATCAAAAATTAAAAATGAATAAGGTTTTAATCAATGGAGTAGCAAAAGGAAGGATAAGAACCTAATTTCTCTTTAATTTTATGATAGAACTTCAACTTCTTTCGTAGTATCAAACCATTTGTTGAAATTCTTAGAGGTATTTCAAAATACAACTCTTAAATATTGATGTAAAAAATTATTGGTCACTTTAATATCAAATTATATATTCACACTCACGTCCACATTTCAATTTTTCTTTCCAAACCAAAATTGATGCATTAACTAATTTATAATCGTTGACCTTGTTAATTGGCTTTCATCATGTATAGCCTACTTTGTCCTTCTAATAACATCCCTCTCTTTGAGGCTTATGCCGTTTTTCATATTATGTATTTATTTTTTCTTTCCTACAAATGTCACCTAGTTGAAAAGAATCTTACCGTTCTTTTCTCTCTTAATCTTTGTGTTCTTTCAAATGCTATTATAATTTTCTCTTCTTACATGCTAAATGAAAGAATCAAATTGTTCACCCGATCTAACTATTGTGAGTATAAGCTTGCAAAGTTCATAGGTTGTTGTATCCTGAAAGGTAGGACGCCATAACTTGATACCAAGACATTGTCTCCAAGGGGCGGAATCTACTCTTAAGGACAGCGACTTACATGCCTCAACCTAAAATCATATTCTCTTCAAGCATCGTTAATGTTGGAGATCAATATATTCGCTACAAAAGATAAGTATTTCATTACATTAGTTTTATCCATTGTAATATGGCTAAATATCCAAAATGGTCCATGAGATTTGCATAATCAATAGAAATGGTCCATGAGATTCAAAATCAATAAAAATGGTCCCTGAGATTGTCTATCATCCATGATTTTGGTCATTCCGTTAAAAACTCTTTGGGCAATTTTCAAAGCTTCGTAACTCAATCGATTCTTAACCAATTCGACCCATAATATATCAAAATGAAGATAGAAAAGTGTAGAACTAGATTATACCATTTGGAAGCCCAATCGTTGCCGGAGATGGCCAGAAAATAGCCTGAAATGTGACTGGTTCGCAGGAAAACAGGAAAACTCGCCGGAAACTGGGTAAATTTTAAACGTTCATAACTTCTTCAATACTCAACGAAATTGAGTGATTCAAAAACGAAAATCATACTTCTCGTTGAGATAAAGATAATGGTAACTTTATCAACGGCTAAATCACTGTTTTTGGCCAGAAAACGGCTCGAAAGTGGCTAACTCGAAAATGGTTAGCCACTTTCGAGCCGTTTTACGGGCAAACCAAGACGAGTTAGCTATCGATAAAGGTACCATTATCTTTATCTCATCGAGAAGTATGATTTTTATTTTTTAATCACTCAATTTCGTTAAGTATTGAAGAAGTTATGAACGTTTAAATTATACCCAGTTTCTGGCGAGTTTTCCAGTTTTCCTGCGAACCAGTCACATTTCAGGCTATTTTCCAGTCATCTCTGGCAACCATTGGGCTTCCAAATAGGTATAATCTTGTTCTATACTTTCCTATCTTCATTTTGATATATTATGGGTTGAATTTGGTTAAGAATCGATTGAGTTACAAAGTTTTGAAAATTGCCCAAAGAGTTTTTAACGGAATGACCAAAATCATGAATGGTGGACAGTCTCATGGACCATTTCTATTGATTTTGAATCTCAAAGACCATTTCTATTGATTATGCAAATCTCAGATACCCTTTTAGATATTTAGCCTTGTAATATTTCAATGTGAAATATTATTTACTAATATTTATCTTATGTGATTTGTTTATAGGGAGAAGTAGCATTCTCTCACCAAACATTTCCAACACACGTTACCAACGTGTTGAGTCCATTCTCAATATAAGAAGTTAGACTACTCGCTAGTTTGGTATTGATGTACTTTAAAAAAAAAAAAATTGATTCTGTTGTGCTGTGAGAAAAAACAACTGTAAAATAAAGTTGTTGAGTGTTTAATATTTTTTTTTTTTTACAGAAGTGCTTTTAATAAAAAAAAAAGTAATGTTTGAGTGTTTGGTAAACTTTTATATAAATTACTTTGAATATGTTAAATGACTAAAAAGGATATGGTATTTAATGTGATATAATAATTGTCAAGGACAATAATGTGGGGCAAAGATTGTATTTTGTAAAAACATGTGGGGCTATACTTGCTATTTGAAAATTTCATTAAAAGATCATTGATTACCCTACTTTTGCTTTTCTACTTTCATTGACAACAATTAAAAAAATAATAATTTTTTTTTGTTTTACCAAACACATTTAACGTTCTAGATTTTTTAATAAGTTTTTTTTTTTTTTTTAAACACCACAATCCCAAACCATGTTGACAAATAACTCTATGGTGAAACCTTAATTTTTTTTTTTTCAATATATGACTATAGAAATATGAAGGCTAAATTGTAGCAAATGTTCCTAATCTAAGAGTTTAGTTTTCTTCCCTTAACTCTACTAATAGTTTCTCCTATCATCGAACTATGTCTTTTGTTGCATTAGTAGTCATTTTTGTTAACTCCGTCAACTTTTTCATTAAGTATAAAATGGGAATTTTATCCAAAAATAAGAAAATAAAGTTTTTAAAGAGAAAAACTTGGTTCCTCAAGGATTGAGGAGGAATTCCTTATTAAAATATCTCATGACCTATTCACTGAACTTCGTGCTTATAATCGTAACTCCTAAAGGATTAACTAAATGATATTAGTTTTAATTGATTTTTTGCAAATATGATCTATACATAGTGGTTTATAATATGAACAAATCTAATAATAAGTACGAAATTCTATGCATAGACCACGAAATATTGTAAGAAGGAACTCCTCCTTAACCTTAAGGAAGATCTTCTTTTTTTAAGTAAATTGAATTTTTTTTTGGTATGAAAAGACCACTATACCCTTACATTTGATGGAAAAGAAGATAAATTTGACGAAAGGACCACAAGAAAATATAAGATGAAAAGATTGAATCCCAATAGTCTTAGTACATTGAGCTTTAGTGGTGGAGCGAGAATGCTTTGTGAGAGAGGGTCTTTCATATATGTATTGAGAAAAAATTTCTAATTCATTACACAAAACTGAAAGACCCTTTAAATTAAAAAAAGAGAATAAAAAGAAGTGTATACTTCAAGTAAGTGGGAGGTAGAGAGCAGGGTAATCACTAAAAAAAATGAAATTATAGGAAGAAAATACAAAGAAATCTAGTTTTAATCGTTTGATAGAAAAAGTACTGCAAGGTGGAGGGCTGCAAATAATAGTTGATTATGTTGCTTTAGAAATAACATTAAAGTCAATTTTAAAACTCCATCCCTGATTTTCACTAAACCACAAAGACAAAACAAACAAAATTGTTAGAAAAATATAAGATACGACGTCGTTCGACTCAACTTCTTCACAAGGACAATTCATCTTCTTCCTCATATCTCACAATTCTACAACTACAAACTTAAGGCCGCTAGAAATTTCTTACACAATGATTAGAATAAGCACGGAACCACTCTGGTCCCTTAGTGGCTCTGCCATGTGATTATTATGATCCTAGGTAACAAAGCCAAACTCAAATTTACTTCTAATTGAGAATGCATCTTATCCGAATGTATCTGCATAAAAAAGTAAGATTAGACTTAACGGTAAGTTAAGGAGCACTAAAATGAAAGAAATTAGATGATTTTCTGTGAACTCAAATAGAAGAAATGCACCATTGAAAAAATAATTGATTTGGCTAGGCAAGAGTTGAATTAAGTGGAAAGTGGACAGCAATTCTCGATGTGGCTATAAATCTATCCAAAAAATAAATAAAAACATGGCGAAAAATAGATATCATCAGTCACTTTCTTAAGTCCTGTAACGTTTGTTAGCTGGGAGAGAGAGTCTTTTAACCTTCTTAGGGTTTTGAGAATCTTGAGGGTAGGTAGTGCCAAAAGGCTTTCTCTCTCATCCAGTCATCCTTTGGATGAATGACATTATTCTCCCGATCCATCATTTCATGTGAACTCTTTTACATGTGTTGCTCTATAAGTTGCACCGCCCAGTGCATGCCATGCAATGCGAGTGATTTAACGACTAATGCTCTCTCTCTCTCTCTCTCTCTCTCTCTCTCTCTGTGTTAATTTGCAAGTTACAGTCCAACCCATCAAAACTATACAAGACAACCCTCACCGACTTTGCTCCTCCTCATTTCCTTCTTGCTATTAATATCTCATTCTTTTAATTTCTTTTCCTTAATTATCTCTGCAATTTCTTCTCCTTCTTCTTCTTCTTCAGCTAGCTAGGTTAATTAGCACGACTCAGAACCATGGTTTCTGCAGATGCTATTCGAACTGTAGTCGGTATCATCGGTGAGTTAGAGATTATATAATTTGGGTTGTATTACACATCATTGTTATTTAATGCTTTAATTAGCATATTTGAACTTAAACAAGTGAGATTTATACTTTCTGGTTCTTGTTAGAATGAAGCAATTAATTTTTGAATTTGTTTTCTTTCAGTTTCATGTGTATAGATTGCTTTATTTTTTGAGACTCAAACTTGTTGTGAACGCTTTTTGCTTATTTTCAGGAAACGTCATCTCACTCATTTTGTTCCTCTCACCAGTGTAAGCATGGGTTTTTCCCCATTTCTTGAATTCAAGGCACAATGATTATGATATGCATTTCTGAAAAAAAAGAAAAAGAAAAAAAAGACTATATATAAACAATTTTACAGGTATCAAAATTTGTTTAATTGTACAAAAATTGTCGGTAAAAAAATGCATGACATATGAAATTATCTTATGTTTTTCTCAAGGCGGAAAGTAACCATTTAATATAGATAGTAATTTACAGTATTTAGTGGATTGTCGATATTTAGTTGATAAATTATTAATATTGTGACGATAAGTAATACTAAGCATATACCACCAGTAAATTGATACACAACACCAAACAATAACTGCCTTTTAAGAAAAATGATATGACACTATTATCTTATTAGAAAGAAGAACTACCGAGTATTAATCAAAAGTACCTAAATCTCTCATTTCTTATAAGAAATTAGGAAGGGAATTTACTGATAATTATCCAACTTAAAGGAGGGTGTTGCCCTAATTAATTTGGACCTCCACCTAATACTTCTTTCCATATTTTTCCTTATTTGAAGGTGGCAACTTTTTGTTTTGGCACACAAGGAGTTAATAATATCCATATTTCCATTTAACTTGCAGGCAAACTTTTGTTCGAATTTGGAAAAAAGGGTCAGTGGAGCAATACTCACCAGTCCCATACCTTGCAACCCTATTTAACTGCATGGCATGGGCCCTGTACGGGTTGCCTGTGGTGCACCCCAACAGTCTTCTGGTGGTGACCATCAATGGTTCTGCAATTTTCATTGAGCTTTCCTACATCATCCTCTTCCTCATCTACTCATCTGACAAGAAGCAAAGGCTCAAAGTGCTTCTCGTGCTGCTTTTGGAGCTCGTTTTCATGGCTCTTCTGGCATTTCTTGTTATCAAATTGGCTCACACACACAAAAAGAGGTCACTGATTGTTGGCCTAGTTTGCATTCTAGGTAACATCATGATGTATGCTTCACCTCTATCTGTCATGGTAAGTTGGTAACTACCCTCCTAATCGTATTTATTTTTCTTTTCATTTAAGGTCGTGATTATTGGTCGGTATATATTCGTACTAATTTACAGCAGCTGGTATATTGTCGACGTTTATAGTTGAAATTTCAATAAATTAATCAACTAGATATACTGATTGACAATGTTCTAAAGCATTGTAAACTAGTATCTAATACCAAACAAATTTTACTTTTAGTTTCTCGTTTTACTATGTGGGCCAGTATCAGTACTAACTTACGGTGCTTGTATATTGTCGATATCTAGTTTATTATCAATACACTAATATATCGACAATGCTCTACATAATGTAAATTAGTATCTGATACCAAATTATTGTTTTCCCCTCAATTTTATCATATGCTAATCTATGGTGTTTTGGTGCATGACAGAAATTGGTGATTACAACAAAAAGTGTGGAATACATGCCGTTTTTCCTCTCACTCTTTTCCTTTTTCAATAGCATTGCCTGGTTCACATATGCTCTCATCCGTTTTGACATCTTCTTGACTGTAACGATCTCAAACTCAAAACTTTACTTATAATAATCCTTCATCTAAGTTAATTAATCTGTCGTTTGAACATAAAACTGAGCGCATAAATAATTAATAAACACATTTAGTGTCGACAGATGTAGGTTAGCCAATTGATCATGACCATGTTCTCACTTTCTTATAGTTTGAATCCCTCTTACCGTAATTAGAATATCTTTTTGTTAAACCAAAGAAAGGAACGTAGTTCTCATATGCACATGTTTGTAGATCAAATTAAAATGGCATGCGGTGTGCTCACTTTCAGATTCCGAATGGGCTGGGCTTACTTTTTGGATCAGCTCAGCTGCTTCTCTATGCCACATTCTACAAGAACACTAAAAGACTGATGGCAGAAAGAAAATCCAGACAATTGAGTTTGACAGAGGTGGTTTCCGACAGAGATGAACCCAAAAAGATAAGCCGCACTAATCACAACGGCCGTGCTCCCTCTCAGAACAACGGGGCATGATCAACCGCACCGTTGAAGTCTCTGCTGGTCGATAAGTCGGACGAGCAGGGACCCCGTCAAAGATCTACAAGTTTTTTTTGAACAAACGAAAGAGCTACAATTTATTTCATAACACATGCATTAAGAGTCTCGTATGTAACTCTGTGGCATGATTGAACATTATACTTATGCCATACGAAGTAGTGGATCTCATAATTGTACTGCAACTATTTCAATTGATCAATGATCAAGGCACAAGCCTTGTATGGAAATTTGTTTTGCGACTGTATTTGTATGCATACTTTATTATACAGGCAATATTTGCAGTGGGGGAATCGAACACCTGATCTCGCGTGCAGGGATAAATACGTTGTACCACTTGGGCTACGAGCCCGTTGTAATTTATGGCCGTAATTTCGAGTAGCTAGCGCTGTATGCTCTTGACAATGATACTTCAGAAAGCTGCAATTTTGAGACTAAAGGAGCTAATACCAGAATATATATAAAGGTCGTACCCAGTGCACAAGGCTCCCGCTTTACGCAGGGTCTGGGAGAGGTGAATGTCGGCTAGCCTTACCCCCATTTATAGAGAGGCTGCTCCCAAGTCTTGAACCCGAGACCTACCGCTTATGGGCGAAGGCACTTGCCATCGCACCAAGTGCGACCTCTTAATACCAGAATATATATATAGATATATATCGATTGTAATTTACAATCCATTGAAATTGAGGTACTGAGGGAGCAAAACTGAAGCAAACCTCGAAGAATCTACACCTACACCTTGGCAAGAACAAAAGAGAAAATACAAAACTTATCCCTTCACTTGAAAACTAACCATATTTTACAATTTAATCGTCATCCTTACGCACTCCCGCAAGAGCTCCCGAGATGGGACATTATGTCATGAACCGAGAGTCTGATCATATTGCTGCCTGATGTTCTACAAACTTCCATACACTCCTGCAGATCTGCATCACAGGCTACCAGAACCCGTTCAAGGTCATCATCCACATATTTGATGTCGAATGTGCCCACTTCCAGTTTTAATCTCTTTGCCACTGCCTCTTTCAGCTCCACAATACCTGAACTCATCGACACACGAAACCTAATAATGTCCTCTTTATATGTCGCCTTTATGGTTACACTCTTCATTTCTTGCCTGCCCATGATATCTGGCATTGTGTTGGATTGCTTGGGAGCTGAATCTGAAAATGGAGGGTTTGTGTTACAAGCTTCTCGAACTTGCTCGTCCATTATTGTGTCTGCCAAAGGACAGAGATTTCTCAAATCTTTTGAACTTCCAGCATCCTCTAATAGCATTCCTCTACATGGTTCCTCAGGTTCTGCCATCAGGAGAGCATCGGGTATTGAGCATGCAACTAATAAATTTGACTCCTCCGGTGTTCGAACTGCTGATTGAGGGGAGCCATTTACTTCAATACATTGTTCATGGACGAAAGGAACAAAGGGATAGTTTACCACGGCAATTCCATTTCCAGGACTACCTTGGCATGAACCATGAGACGTAGGGGTACCAGCACTGGCCTCCCTTGAGCTGCTTCCTGTGTTGGATGTGTTTGAGCCTTTACCCCTGTCTCGCAGAAACCTGTTATGTTCTGGAACAAGTTCCTCGTGACTCGGTATCCGCCAATCTAACAAATGATTGTCAATCCCAGCCTGGCCCTCTGTTCCTGGTGAAGTAGAGGTGGTTGAGTCTTTCTTTTCTCCAGAAACTTCACAAGGTTTAGAGCTTGGTGAACCTTGTTTATTAGAACCATTTAAATTATAAGGCTGAGAAATGGAGCCAGCAGCAACCGGACGTGGACTTGCAGTAAGAGGAGTTAAACCAAATGCTCCTTCAGCACCTTGAACTGATTCAATTACGCGTTGTAGCTTAGTGAGAGAACGGTTGACCTTCTTGATCTTGCGAGATGGCCAGCGGGAGATTCCATGATGCCTGCAGATGCGCTTCATTGTAGTGGGGCAAACTGCAAAACAATAATTTATTTCAGAACTTATCACAATTGCTACTGAAAACCAATCGATCCAACATTTTAGCCACAGATTTTAGCGTCTGTTGACACAACATGAGCATAACTGCAGGAAACAGTATGATATACACGCGTAAGCATACCTCCAAGATTCTTTGCAGCATCTTTAAGACTCCCTGCAAAATATTGTTGGAGAACCTCTAGACTAATTGATTTCTCTGCTTTTCCACGCTTCTTCTCCGGTCTCTTTTTTATGTCTTTATTCTCTGGGAGAGAAATATTGTTTTCTCCACCTTCATGAACAGAATTTCTCCCATCATTTACAACATCATATACTACCTTTAACTGTGGTTTCGATGAATCTAGTTGTGCCATCTCTTCTCTGTTAGGTAAGGCAGGCCCTGGTGGTGATTCCACAGAATGGGGTATCAGTATACATTCAAGTCTTGTGGCAAGCCCGTTATTTGTAGAAGCTTGAACAATTTCAACTATTCCCTCCTCTTCAAGTACAATACCAGAAGCAACACTGAGACTCCGGAAATCATTCTTCATTATCGCCAATATGGAGCCCAACAAAGTTTGTTGTTCATGACTGTCCATGATACTTGGTGGCAGAAAAAATTCTAGAATATAATCATCATTTCCAGTATGAGTGCTCTGTAAGCAGATAGCAAAAGAGCTGGCTAAACCAAACATGCGGGCATAGTGTACTAAAGGGTACTCAGTTTTGCAGAATTGGGTAATGTCTCCACAGAAGCAAGCGTTACGGGATGAAAATGCCCTCCCAGCAACCCCTTGACCCTTTTGTAAGTGATGTTCAACGCAGGCATCTCGAAAACGCCACATATGAGCATCTATAATGTAGAATGCAACATCAGTTGTAGACATGCAGACCTGTTCCATGCAACTGCCATCAACGCTAGTACAGCTCTTCTTCAGGCCCCCGCCATAAGCCAAAACACTTCGATGCATACAGGGAACCCATGTCTGAGCAAGTGGTAATTTGTAAGTTTCGCATACCACTGTCAGTATCTTCAAGATTTCAGCCAATGCAATTTGGCGACCTTCATTGCATATTTGAATCTGGTTACAAGTGGCAAGCATATATCTGTGAGAACGAAGGAGGAAGAAATGAAAGAAAAGTTTCCTATTTATTTTCTTGTTTTCGTTAAGAAAACCATACTTAGGCACATATCGTTATTGCAGCTCACCTGCCTGCTTGGATGATCCAGTATCTCTGAACTTTTCAAGCTTACCGCCTGCAGGAGAACGAAATTACGTCACTGACAAATCTCTTGATGTTTGATATTAACTTAAGCAACTATATTGGTACATTTGATGGGCAGTGATTTCTGCACACTCTTTTTCACCTTTTGCACACCCCCTCTTAGTTCTGGTTGTTGATTCTCCTTTGCTTTATTCAAACAAATGGCTAAACAAAGGAGGGGTGTGCAAGAGGTGGAAAAAGGTATCCAAAATCATTTTCCTATTCCCATAACAAAAACCATCCGTCATGTACCATTTACCAAATAATTAGAGTAAACATCACACAAAATGCAAAATATATGCATAGAAAAGAAGAGAGTAACCCCCACCTCAAGTGCTTTGCAAACTTTATCAACCTCAGGACCACAGTTGATAATAGGAGAAGTCATTATGAGCTCAAGTACACCAGCACAAGACTGTCCAGAGGGCTCAAACACGGGCAAAGCTAAGGTTCCCTGAACATTGTAATGCTGAGCATGACCAAGCCGTGGATACTCTTTAATGGAGTAGTACTGAACATTTGGAGTCCATTCGGGCAATTTATGCTGGAAAACGCGGCCAGGAAGCCCAAGCATTCCATCACTCTCCCCACCCACAGAAAACATATACATCAGAGAGGCCATCCTATACTGATGAAGTCCAATACTATGTTGATCAAGTACAAACGGCTGCCCTGAAGTTGTGAGTACATACCGATTTCCGTCCTTTACTGGTACCCAAACCTGAGCTAGAACATTTTGGTCAGTCAATTCCTTGAGGTACCTAAGTGCTTGAGTGATCTTCTCTTTAAATAAACTATAACCATCTGAACTTTCAACAGGTTCCAGTCTGTTATCCTTGTTCTCTGTTGACCCTTGTGTTACGGAATTAGAATTACCTGTATTTTTGTGATATTGTAAAAGAGAAAACTCAAATGAGTGAACCTCTGACAGCTACTCTAGAACTGCAAAATGCTAAATGAACAATATCCTATTCGGTTTGTAACTGGATGGCACAAAGTAAGCCAATTAAAACTGCTTTAAATTCCTATACAAATTCTCAGGCCAAAAAGAAAAAAATTCCTAGACAATCTTGGAGTCTCTCAACTCTTTCTATTTAGAATCTTAGATGGCTGATTTCAAAACCACAGGATGTTCAGAACAGATAGATAGATTAAAGAATAAAAATCCCCAGTTCCAAAGAGACCAAAGTCTACAAATTTAAGGGCTCGTTTGGGACTACTTCTACAGGAAGCACTTTTGTTCAAAAGCAGTTGTATTATAAACATGTCGAAATTTTATCAAAACTCCAAGTGCTTGCTACCTAAAGAAGCACCTAGACTTCTCCAAAAAGCGCTTCTATGACGCATACACACTTTTAAGGTTATATGACAATCATAATTAGGCACTTTTAATTACCAGATAGTACTTTTAGCCCTTCCTGATAGAGCAGGAATGACAAAATGTAACCTTTTGAGTATAACAAGCTGTTTGGTTACTGAGAAACGAGCAAAGAAAACATTTTTTGACCAATAAAAGTGATTGTAGCTTAATTCTCACAGAAAACTATGATTTTTAGATACCAAGTCAATGTAATTAGTCTCTAATTAAAATCAAATTTCATACAAAACAGAGGAAAGCAATTGTTCAGCTAAGTCAAACACAGTAATTACACAAACTTCGAACAGATTTCTGGTTCAACAAAACCAAATTCAACAGTAATACAGCATAAACAGATTAACCCAGAAAACCAAAACCACAAGAACCTCAAAAACTTGCAACTCTCCAAAGAAAACTCACAGGAAACGAATTGAGAAGGGTCAGAGAGATCTTGACCAACATGCACGGCGAGCTTATCTTCACCATCGACATCGCCGTCGGGGAAAGCCCACAAAGGGGTGCAGGGCTGGTCATTGGACGGCAACAAGAGCGGCGATGTGGGGTTCGAGAGGAAGTGATTCGGATCCAACGGCCAGAAAGCGTCGAGGTCGAGATCAAAGTCCATGAGAGCAGCCTCTCGTTCGTTCTTTGGCTTCGGCGGAATGGCTGGCGCTTGGGTATCGTCTTCAGGATCGGACATTTTCCGGGAAAGCGTTTGTTTTGTTTTTTTCCGGGAAAGTTGTAATCTTTACCGGAAAGAAAGACATGGTTTGTGGTAGAAAGAGAGGAGCATTATCAGCAATGGTAACAATTCGCAGCGTCTCAGTGTGATTCCATGGAATCCATGAGTTGTTTAATTTCTTTATTTGTTTTTTTATTCCAACTTGCAGTTGGGACCTTGGAGGCTTCAATAAAGTATTGGGAAAAGGATCTTCTGTTGCAATTAACCACCAATTTGGTCGACATGAGAAATGGGGAAAAAAAAAGTCGCACATGGTGGCGGATTCGGCAACTCTTGACCGTTCATGCATAGTTAATACTCGTTTACTAAATTAAAACAGATAATATATTGACAGGTTAAACCATACTTTGATATTTTTTTAAATTTTTTTCTCTTTTTGATATGTCAAATTTTAAATTATAATAAACTTTAAACAAATAAAAAGCGTAATCAATCAACAATCATTTATAATAAATGTTTAAACAAATAACAAAATTAATAATAAGTATTTGAAGGTGCTGTGAAATTTGACACAACCCTTCTTGTTACCAATCTATGTCATACCATACAGAAATTGGCATTTCGGTTGGAAATTAGCCTAAATTTATTCTTTAATAATCTCAGGCTAAAAAATTTAGGCCTTAAGGATTAGAACAGAAAAGCTGTAAGTTAAAACCTAAATTTTCAGCCTAAAAACGTTAAAAGACTTTCTCTCCCAGCTAACAAACGTTACAGGACTTAAGAAAGTGACTGATGATATCTATTTTTCCCAGTGTTTTTTTTTTTTTTTATAGATTTATAGCCACATCGAGAATTGCTGCCCACTTCCACTTAATTCAACTCTTGCATTTCTTCTATTTGGGTTCACAGACAATCATCTAATTTCTTTCATTTTAGTGCTCGTTAACTTCGGTTAAGTCTGTGAGGAATCATACTTTTTTGACGCAGATGCATTCATCTATGCATTTATATCTAAATAAAGATTGATGCATTCTCAATTAAAAGTAAATTTGAGTTTGGCTTTGTTACCTAGGATCATAATAAATTCTTGACTAGGCTCACATGGTAGAGCCACTAAGGGACCATAGTGGTTCCGTGCCCATTCTAATCATTGTTTAAGAAATTTCTAGCGGCCTTAAGTTTGTAGTTGTAGAATTGTGAGACATGAGGAAGAAGATGAATTGTCCTCGTGAAGAAGTTGAGTCAAACGACGTCGTATCTTATATTTTTCTAAGAGTTTTGTTTGTTTTGTCTTTGTGGTTTAGTGAAAATTAGGGATGGAATTTTAAAATCGACTTTAATGTTATTTCAGCAACCTAATCACCTATTATTTGCAGCCCTCCTCCTTGCCTTACTTTTTCTGTCAAACGATTAAAACTAGATTTCTTTGTATTTTCTTCCTATAATTTCAAAAAAAATTAGTTATTACCTTGCTCTTTACCTCCCACTTACTTGTAGTATACACTTCTTTTTATTCTCTTTATTAAATTTAAAAGGTCTTTCAGTTTTTTGAGATTACTTCAATTACTCATTTAATGAGTTTGACTTTTTTCTCAATACATATATGTAAGATCTTCTCTCACAAAGAATTCTGGCAATACATATATGTAAGATCCTCTCTCACAAAGAATTCTAGCTCCACCACTAAAGCTCAATGTATTGAGACTATAGAGATTCAATCTTTTCATCATATAATTCCTTGTAAGCCTAGATGGATAGGCAATTTTTGGATGTTAAAGTAAAAGTAAGAGTTTATTCTCTTCCGTTCTCTCAACTTGGGTATTATGTAGGAATCAATAAGTTATAGATTTATTATGACCCTAGGCAATAAAGTTAAACCCAAAATTACTCATAATACAATGCATTAATACGTATTTAGATATAAATGCATAGATTAATGCATCTTACCCCATTGTATATGCATCACATTTACTTCTATTTTATATTAGTTTCCTTCCCTAAGCTCTTATATTAGTTTCTTGTGTCCTCCAACTTAACTATCTGTTACATGAGTGGTCATTTCATCAAATTTGTCTTTTTATCCCATCAAATGTAAGGGTATAGTGGTCTTTTCATACAAAAAAGAAATCCAATTTCCTTATAAAAAAAATAAAAAAAAAGATATTGGCTCCTTAAGGTTAAGGAGGAGTTCCTCCTTACAATATTTCGTGGTCTATTCACAGAATTTTATACTTATTATTAGAACTGTTCATATTATAAATCACTATGTAAAGATCATTTATGTAAAAAATCAATTAAAACTAAGATAATTTAGTTAGTCCTTTAGGAGTTACAATTATAAGCACGAAGTTCAGTGAATAAGTCATGAGATATTTTAATAAGGAATTCATCCTCAATCCTTGAGGAACCAAGTTTTTCTCTTTAAAAACTTTATTTTATTTATTTTTTATTTTTTATGAAATTCCTATTTTATGCCTTAACTTAATGGAAAAGTTGATGGGGTTAACGAAAATTACTACTAATGCAACAAAAGACATAATTCGACATGAGAAACTATTAGTAGAGTTCAGGGAAGAAAACTAAACTCGTAGTACAAATTATGAACATTTGCTACAATTTAGCCTTCATATTTCTATAGTCATATATTGAAAAAAAAATTGAGGTTTCACCATAGAGTTATTTGTCAACATGGTTTGGGATTGTGGTGCTTTAGAAAAAAAAAACAGCTTATTAAAAAATCCAGAATGTTAAATGTGTTTGGTAAAACAAAAAAAATTGTTTCTTTTTTTTTAAACCGTTGTCAATGAAAGTGGAAAATCAAAAGCAAGGTCTACCATGCTTCTAAAAAAAGTGTTTTTTCTTTTCTTTTCAAAGCATAATAATCAATGCTTTTTTAATGAAATTTTCAAATAGCAAGTATACCCCCACATGTTTTACAAAATTACAATAATGTGCACCATAATTATGTTACCTTGTGCACCATAATAATAAACTTTAAATGAATAAAAAGCACAGTCAATCAACAATCACTTATAATAAATGTTTAAACAAATAACAAAATTAATAATAAGTATTTGAAGGTGCTGTGAATTTGACACAACCCCTCTTGTTGTCAATCCATGTCATACCATACATAAATTGGCATTTCAGTTGGAAAACAGTTGTGTTGGCTTTTTTTTTTGTTTTTAATGTTATTGCTGATGTGAACTTTTTGACATATCATTTGGAGATGCTCTTTGTAGCTAATAATTACTATATGAGTATGATCGATAACATAATTCTGGTGCACATTATAGTTTGGATAATATTTCTCTCTTATGTGACATCATTTCACTATCTAAATTTTCATAATTGGAATTGTTAGATATCATTATTTAAGAATCATTATAGAAAAACTCAGTTCGTTTAAAGACTGTATTCATTCACGTGAATTGAATAAAACTGATTGTTCATTACTTGTTATCATAATTATCAATTTACACATGTAGATGACTAAGTATTGTCTTTCTAGTCTTTACAACAAGATACATGTTTGGTGTCTTATTTAGTGCTTTACATATTCTTTCAACTCTTAAATAATTTGGAGAACAAAAATAGAATTCTTGTTGTTTTAAGCTGTATTTTTAGTACGTATTTAATTTTCATCTGAATCACGACAATGATATAAGTTTTATGAATCTACTTTGTCAATCATATGAGTTTGAGTAAAATTTAATCTTAACGTGTTATAATTTGAATAAGTTCATGTTGATGTGCTATCACATTAATAATTTTTTCCCAAAAAAGAAACAAAAGGAGGTGTGAAAAAGTAAGTGGCCACAGCCTATAAGGCAATTAATTTAAAGTTAACCCCAATTTTGGCTAATGACATGATGATCCCAAGTTCCCAACTCTTGTTGTTTTGTTTAAACAAAGTGACAAACTTTTCAGAAAAAAAAAAGAAAAAGCTAATAGATTAGTGAATAATGACTAGGGCAGTCTCTTAAACAAAGGAGTTGTTAGCTTCCCAAAATGTTAATTAGCTTTCGTAATGATATGGATTAAGCTTCTTTAATTATTAAGAATGGCAATACTGGTTGGTTTTAGTTTGATTATCTGGAAGTTGATGTTCAAATTATAGAATAATACAGTTGTTTATTTGGACATCATCGATTAAAATATAGGTTATTTTTGTATATAATTGGATACATTAGAGAAGACGACAAATCCAATTGCACCCACTAATATATTGATTACTAAGATGTCACTAATTTGGTAGCACAATACCATACGTTTTACTTTTTCTTCAACTTTTTTTTTTTAAACAAACGAAAATATTATAAGTAAAGGAAAAGATGAGAGTTTAGAAAAGTGGACGGGAGATTAAAAAACTAATTCAGAAAATAGTAGTTATATGATCACAAGGTGTCACTACGTTGTGTTTTATAAAACAGATTGATAGATAAACGTAGTTTAGAGTATAATATTAAAAGATAAATTACGTGTAAAAAACCAATGGAACAATAACATCACATGACGATGAGACTGTGACTTCCCGCTGTTGCCCTTTTGTGCAATCGAAATGAACGATTCCGGTTGGCTTACATGGATCCACTTGTGCACTTGTCACCCAGCAAGTTGTGTTCGTTGGCCGGTGCGTATAAGATCCTGTTGTGGCTTGTGGAAATCACGGTGCACAAAGCCGCGTATCTTATCTAAATTTGGACCCCAAATAAGCGGCAGCGTCGTGGGATGAGATTTTACCAAAAGTTTACATTCGATTCTTGACAACACTTGTTCATGCCAATATATTGTACGAGGGTTGCTGGCTACCTTTCCCTTTTGCCTCTCCCAACTTGCCTTCCCCACTCATTTCTTGACACATTCAGAAGGATCGATGTCCGCAAACGAAAAGACAAGAAACTGATTTCAATTCATTCGTAAAAACAGCTGTGTTAACAATAATTTATGTACATATCATCAATCTGCAGGTAATGTTAGTTTTTGTCGCAAAATTAAACCGCCAACTACAGGTTTAAATCACATGTAAGCGAGACGCCTATTCTGTAACCCACTGGCATTGCACTTCGTACGAAATCAGGTCAAGAACAAGAACAAAAGGGGCGCGTTAGGACAGCAAGACAAACGAACGACGAGATGCAGCTGCATCCAGGAGCACAAAAGCAGTACCTGCTCAGAAAAATATAATTGAGATCCCCATCGTAAAGCATCCAGCCGCAACCCAAGGGCTCAGGCGTTCACCTGTTTCACGTACCGAAAAAATTAATCCACCACACAAACGGACTAGACAATTGAAACTGTTTGAGGAGCACGACGACAGCAAAAAAATTAAAAAGAACCTCATTAACATACCTATTCTAGCCGCCTTCCAGAAAAATCCCCGAAATCTGCCAAGACGAGGAACAAAATCAGAACACGGCTTGATCTTGAAGGTTGACATATCATATAAAGACATGGACGCGTGAAGGAAAGTAAAACACAAACATCATTGATTGGAGGAAAAATACATAAATGTCGGAATCAAATAAGTAGATCCAATGCAAGTACACCTAACTACACAATTCTTGCGGCAACTTTTAGAAATCATAGTCCAAATACCAAACATCTAGCGCGTGCGCATCCAGTTTGCAAAACCACATTGAAGGGAAGCAAACTTTAGACCTATCCTCATCCTAACCCCTTACCCCTCGCTCGTTACTTGGGCTAACCGCAAGGGCTTAACAAATCACAACCCTTTTGTTTTTAAGCAATTCTACTCTAAACCGATGCTGAACGCAACACCCGGGCAGGATTAACATTTACATTAAGTGGAAGCCTTTAAGGGAAGCGATAAAAATGGGAATTAGTTGTGGGGTCCACATCATATCGAACTTTAACGATCCGAACCTCTATTTTTCAAGTTGTACATCATCCTTGCAAAATATTAGCCAAATCGGAAATATTTAAAACATCTAATTGGGATTAAAGAAATGAACGAATACTTTGTTATATAAGAAACAATGAAATTTGATCTTGATAAGCAAATGATTTCAGATTGAATTGAATTTTTGCAAGGATGATATATGAATAAAGACTAACAAATAGACAGTTCGGATCGTTAAAATTCGATGTGGAGTGGGCCCCATACCTAATCCTCATTTAAAAAAAAAATGGGGATCCCTTTGCATAAAGGGCTGCACATTAAGTTTTCTTAACCTCAATTAACAGTGTGCATAGGCAATATTGATTAAATGTTGAAAAATGCTTCAATGCATACAATTGGATTATGCTAAACTTTCTTTAGACACACACTAATCAAAACATTAAATTAAATTACAATGAATAAAAACACACATATTTACAAAATTAGAGAAGCCATGGGAAGTGAGACCACTGACCCGCTTTTTAGCTCCAGGACGGCCGGAAACTGCATCTTCACGAAGGTGCACGTGCAAATCACGAGCAGCACCACCGTCAAGAACGAATTGAAGTTGAAAAGCGCCGACTGCATACCATAACCAAAAAACCTAAATCAAAAACCCCAATTTGTAATCATAAACACAAAATTTCAATCAAATTAGAGAACATCGATAAGAAAATTCACCGACTATTACCATGTTTCGATTCCGAGTCTTCGATTTCGTACGGATCTACTAGAAAGATCGGAGATCTGAGCAAAACTGAAGATTTCCGAGAGAGCTCAGCGCTTCCAATTTGAAAGAGAACACATAAAAAGCTGAAGCAGTTTAAACGACGAGTCGTTTGTACGGAGGTCATCCAAATTTACTGAAGTACCCATGTACTTGGTTTAAATTACGAAGCTGAGCACCGCCAATTCGAAAATTTTGGATGCGAGTCCCCCGCCATAAGAAAACCAAACGCTTTCTTTTGATTCGATCATTTTCTGAAAATCTCGGTCGCTCGCTCTCGGAGGACACTGAGAGTGAGAAGGCGGCGGTGATGGCGGAGGTGAAGCGGTGGAGCGTGACCTACACGAAGCACATGAAGCAGAAGCGCAAGGTCTACCAGGACGGCTCCTTAGAGCTCAACGCCTCCACCAATAAGGTAACTTAATTCGCAATTTCTCTGAATTAATCCCATTTAAACCGGAATTCTGTGATTAATTTTCCACTCCGGTGTGCAGATGTTGCTGTTTGACGACTGTGAGAAGCTCTTGGAGTGCAGGATCTTGAAGAAAGACGAACAAGTCAGCTGCGGCGAAACTCTCACGTTCAATTCTTTTCTCGTTGACGTGAACGAAGCCTTATCGGCTGACGGAGATCGAAAACCTGTACCCGGTTTCGATTCTCAAGCAAAAGATGAGAAGCGCCCAAAGCCGTTTGTGATTTCCAGTTCAGTTTCTAATCGCTACTTGTTATCTCAAGTCAGTTTTGTGCAATTTCATAGCATTGTACATTTTTTACCTTTGTAATTATAATCACCGACACCGGTTTTGTGATTTATACAGGGAATAAGCCACAGATAAGTATGAGTCCGTCGCAAAAGATTATCAGAGGTTAGTGTAACGCTTTGCTTATTGTGATCTGATTTCATATAGAAAACTACCGCAAACTGGTTTGAGCGATTGTCACAAGAATATAAGGAATGTTGTGTAACAGCGGTAACTGATGAAGCGTTGTATTCAGTTCTAGTTGTTGTTTTCGAGCATTAAACTTTTTCAATGCGTCCAGTGTTTCTGTGTCTTTGCCATTTGGTATTGATTGTGTTACAATCAAAGCCATTCTGTGAGCTTGTTGAGTTTATAACGTGACACACATGTAACACGTTTATTCACATTTTAGAGTTTAAGAGTAGGGGACTACACAAGTATGGCGCAGGACAGAGTAGTCCAGAAACGACGAATACTACCAAAACAGGTTAGTTTGTGAGTTAGTAGCTTTATTTATACAAATGCAATTTTAACTATAAAATGTTGAAGTATAACATCATTTTGTTAGTTCTGCACTGTCAGATGTTTACTAGCATTTATCTGGGGTTTCTTGCTTCACATTTGACATACATATTAATTTCGTTACAATGAAGAGTGGCAGGTTTTGTACACGACCCAACTAACTCAAAGGGCCAAGAAGTATCATGACGGTTTCTTACAGTTTTCGACTTCTGGGTCTTATGGAAAGCAGGTTGAGTTACTACCTGTCTATTCTTCTTTGCAAGTCCCATTTATCTCAACGGATGGCCATTCAACCATCTTCGTTTTACTTTTTTAGTTATCAATCTCAAATTTTGCCCCTTAAATACTAAAGTCACTCAGTTATGTAAGTAGAATTTCTTTGTTGCCCTGTATGTGTGTGATTGCAAACGAATTTACCTAAGGAAAACTTGAGTATCCCAGGCTTTAGCTTTTATCTCTCTGTTCAGATAATACTGTTAGATGCAAGCAGGAATCAAATAGACTGCAGGTTCCTTAAGAAAGATGAAGTGGTAGCTTCCGGTGAATCAATAAGATTTGATGCTCATTTAGTTGAAATTGGAGAACGTGAAGGAGATCGTAAACCTGTAGCAGTTTTGCATATAAGAGAAAACAAACATAATGTTGTCTCTGAGGCAGGAATAAACCTTGAACAGGGTAATGGTGTTATCACCAATAAAGGTGCTGGAAAAGGTTAGTAAGTGAAAGGTTTTCTCTTTTAAATTGAACTTTTGCATCTCTAAAGTGACTGCTTAAAGTTTTTTTCTCCATTGATCCTATCTTACCCACCCCTAATGATATGGTCTCAGGCTGACAACTCCTTTTGTTTTCCTGTTCTAACATAGAATGGAAGGTCCTCTACACTACACAAATAACTCAAAAGGCCAAAAAGTACCATGATGGTTTTTTAAAGCTCGCAATGTGTGGCTCCCAAAGGAGGCAGGTATATATATTTTGAAACTATTGATGTTTACACAATGTTATCATCTTGTCCTCACACCCAACTATGTATGATATATTTGATTGTCAAAGTTGATTTTGTTTTCATTGCTGGTTTCACTTTCTACCAAATTTGATGAATACTTGTTCTGTCGTGGTTGTTGGTTTCATATCTATGAGCCGTATCTACTGAATCTGATGCGTCACGTGGTCCCGTCCATTCCTTGCTTGGAATCACACATCCTTTCAGAGTCACATCATTTCATGGGCTAATGAATTCAAACTAGCTTCTAACTTTCTGTATCATTATACACATGTCAGGTTAGTTTGTTTAGTGAAGATAAAACCATGCTGAGTAGTAAGCACATCAATTTGTCTGAAGATATAAGACAAGGTTGTATGTTTGAGCTACCAAAATATCTGGTGGAGGTCGGTGAACCTTATGCAAGTTCTGGAGGTATGGTGCTGTTCTGATACGAGTTTAGACATTGATGCTTGCTTAGGTCTTGATCATGTCTCCTGCATTTGTTTTGGCCAGAGGGTGAAGGAAAGTCCGACGACAAAGATTGTTTGAAGAAAGCTTCAAACTCAAATCATAGCATCTCCAGTGTTGAGGAAACAAAACCTGGGAGGGCAGTCCCTACAAACAAGCCTTTGCGTGATGGTGAGTCTAGGGTTACCTGGGGAATCACTTACAGCAAGTTTATTGATTGTATTGACTTCAAAGATTGTCTTTCTTTTTCTTTATACTGAGGCACCTGGGCTAGGCGTGAGAAATTTTGATGTGTACGTGTGTGTTTGCCTTTACTACTTAATAGATTTCTGATTATTAATCTGTTTCCATCTATGCAGCCCATCAGATTTTGTCCATTCTCCAAAAACCTATGGCTCAGGAGAGCAAAATTTCCAGTCATGATAATAACAGCGCGGCTAGGCCAGTTACCACCGCTAAGGGATCACATGTTTCAGATGCTATAATATTGGATTCCTCTGAAGCTGATCAACCGTCACAACCACATAGAATAGCTGTGAAAATAGAACCGAGTGAAAAGATGGACACTGGAAAACCCCCTGATCTTACGTCTTTCAAAGGCAAGTTTCATCAGAACATTTTAAATTTGCACCACCATTAACTGTTATATTTTCTGAAATTAGGTTTTCATTAATTAATTATGTGGAAATTCAATTTGAATCGGAGTATAGTCTATGCAGGAAAATCCGGTGGTAGTGGCGGGCGAGTTGCTGAGGGAGCCGACATCAGAAAAGACCAGGTTGGCTGTTGTTCCATAGTATCTATGTATAATGTATTGTCACTTTTTTCTGCTGGTGCTATTCCAATTTAAATTATCTGCAGTTCTTATCAGCCACCAAATTAGAGGAGGAATTAATTAGAACTATTAGGATTTATGTAGTTGAAGCCATTCCACGGTGAAGAATTTATGACCGTGTCTATATCTCTTGAAATTTAGGAAGACAACATAAGTTGCAACGCTATCTTTTATTTATTTGATTTCTTGTTTTTACAATGCATTTCACTCTTTTAGCAACCATCGGTAAACTTATGTAGCTTTGATACGATGTATTGTGTTTGCAATTGTTTCAAGCAGCAATATTCAGGCAATGTGGAAGCTGACACTAAACAGCGTGACAGAGCATACACTTCTGAGAAATCAAGTCTCAGTTCTTGTGCTTCTCATGATGCTGCTGATGAGAAAAGACCTCGTTTTGAGGAGCCTGTTTTGGAGCAAATCGAAGTATTCCCAAGTTTCGATCTTGGATTTTAAACAACTTTACCCAAGTTTCGTTCTTCTAATCAATCGCTGTATGGCCAGTGCTTGTAAATTGTGAATTGGATGATTTTATTCACTCTCTTGGTATCTTGTGGAATAAATAACTTGCATAAAAACATAGCAAGATCCAAGAAAAGCTCGCCAACGTATATTTTCAGTTGTAATTTGTATGTATGGAAGAAACTTTATTTTGGATAAACCATGTTCGGATGCAATTCTTGTGAACTGAAATGCTCACGGTGAAGATTGTGGGGAGTGTAATGCAGAGCAGCAGAAGACTTTTCACTGCATTAGAACATGCAGCACATGTGACTAAGAGCATTCACTCATGCACCGAGTTTTTGTGTTTGAAAGCTCTGAATCTCTTCTCCCCCAATATCGGTTGTATTAAAAATAAAAAAAATTAAACAATACAAGATGCTGACATTCCACTCAGGAAAAAAGTGAGAGTGAGACTGTGAGAGACTTCTGCTTATGGGTTTATTAGGGAATTGGCAAAATCAGTACTAAATTGTGAAAGCTGATTATCAACTAGGTTTCTAATTATTTGTTGTTAAACTACTTATAACACCAAAAGAGCGTGTTGTTAATATGAGCAAACGGCATAGTTGATCAAGGATACAGGATAAATACATTCACATATTATAATATGAGTAAATTAGTAACACTACGTGACAGTGTCACAGTTAAATCAAAAAATTACTTTCATGCAATGGGTTTCTTTACGAACTTAGTGCAAAATGAGGAAAAGAAAATGTTAATAAATCAATTAAAACAAGCCACTTGTCGTCCGCGTGGTGGTTTGATTAACTTCAAACATTGGACCCCCAAAATTGATGGGAATAGGGCGAATAAATTTTATCTGACATCTAGGGTGGAGTGATTGCAGTGCTTCGCTTGCTTGGCTGAAGAAAGTTAAATGTGGGCATAAACAGATCGTGCATTTTTAGCTCCCCAAACATTTAATCCAGTGCTTCAATCTTATCATGTCTTACCTTTCGACCCAACTACTTTGCCCTCTAAACTATGATGATACCATTTTTAACATTTTGATATAGATGATATTCTGTTTTCTGATTAATCTGACCTACTC